GATCAAAGGGGTACATTTTGTACTTGGACCCCAAGGTGAAGGTTTATGATGGTAATTAGCACCTGTGAAAGCATAAATTTAAATGAACTGAATGAAACTTTAATCTCAACAGTACATTTTATGATAGTTGTTACTCCTGCCCTCCCTTGGTGCACCCTGAGTTATATTGTTGTTCTTTAATCGTTAAGTTGCGTCCCACTCTTCGTGACCCTATGGACCAGAGCATGCCAGGCCCTTCTGTCTTCCACTGACTATGGGGGCTACTCCATTTCTTCTACGGGATTCTTGCCCACAGTAGTAGATATGGTAATCGTCTGAATTGAATTTGCCCATTCCCATCCATTTTAGTTCACTGTCACCCAGGATGTCAATGTTTATTCTTGCCATCTCCTGTTTGACCACATCCAACTAACCAAGGTTAATAGATCTTACATTCCAGGTTCCTATGCAGTATTTTTCTTTGCAGCATTGGACTTTCCTTTCACTTCCATGCGCATCCGTAGCTGAGCGTCCTTTCGGCTTTGTCCCAACCACTTCATTAGCTCTGGAGCTACTTGTCCTTGTCCTCCACTCTTCCTCAGTAGCATGTTGGATACCTTCCGACCTGATATGACGCTCATCTTCCAGCATCATATTTTTTAGCCTTTTGTTTCTGTCCATGGAGTTTTCTTGGCAAAGATACTAGAGTGGCTTGCCAGTTCCTGCTCCAGGTGGATCGCGTTTAGTGAGAACTCTCCACTATGACCTGTCCGTCTTGGGTGTCCCTGCACGGCATAGCCCATAGTTTCTCTGGATTACTCAAGCCCCTTCACCATGACAAGGCAGCAATCCATGAAGGGGAGCCTGAGCTACAGGAGCTCAGTTTTTATTTCCCATCTTTAACCTTTTCTAATGGTTTAATCTAAGGTCGTTCTACTTTGTGTCTTCAGAGCTGCAGCTTTGATAGAAATTATGCTACTTTCGTTGATTGAATTCAGTTCTGTCCTATCAGGTTTTCTAACCCACTAGAAGTGGCAAGGAGATGGTTTTAGAAGATTTCCCATTCTCTCTGTCACCTTGCACACACACCCTAAGATCTTTTCCAGACAGTTGGTATGTTTGAAATCAGCTTTCAGCTCTAGCTCCAGAAGCTGGAGAAAAGAGAAGACTGAAGAGGCTTCGATGGACATTTGACATTTAGCAAAGGGCTTCGATATCAAGGATTTCGGTATCAAGCGCTTTGATTTATGGTTTTTTAAAGTTTTAGATGAAGTGGATGGAGCGCCGAAGTGGGATGGTGTGGTCGATGGATGTTGTTTTGAGGCTTCAGAAAGAGCCTTCTTCATTGCTTTGGTTTGTGAGGTAGCCTTACAAGGAGAGTTGGCCATTTTGGTTGATTGAAAGGCTTGCTCCCTACGACGTAGTTTTAATCTGGATAAGTGAGAACGGAGGACTCCACGCTTGAAGTTTTCACAATGCTGGCAGGAGGACGTCTGGTTTGCCTCTCCCAAGCAAAAAAGACATTTGGCATGGCTGTCAGAAAGTGGTATTTTGTTATCACAGACCATGCAGTGTTTAAACGGGCCCAAAGGGGCCATGAAAGGAGAAAAATAATTTGAGGAGAAAAACGATGATAGGGTGTGTGTGTGTGTGCTGTGTCCGGAGGCCGAGTAAAGCAAAAAGGAAACATTCTTTGATGATAATGAATTTGAACTAAAGTTTAAAAGAAAAAAGATCGATAACAGAAAGGAATCAAAAATAAGCTCTTTTACATGTATCGAGGCACTATATTTTTAGATGTACATAAAAAACATTTAGTGAGTGTCACCCAAATTCTACTAAATCAGCATTGAATGTGCATCTGCACTGGCAGTTTGTTAGGGACCATTCATTTTCTTCAACACATGATTCTAATAAAGCCCACATCACCCATGTTCAGAGTTGGCACAAAGTCTCTGGGCTGTACAAGGGGTGACCTCTAGTCAGCTGAGCCACAGAATCTGTACTAAGAAAAATGCAATATGAATTCTCCCCACATGCTTACTGCCATAGCATGTGCACTATATAAACCTAAGCTCCATGCATCTGAAGAAGTGTAATCTGTGAATGGTTTTCAGGTACTCTATGAAAACTCACACTGACATACATTTCCTAGTTTTAAAACAGCCACCCAAAACGGATTAAGTTCTTAAGTAGAGGTTCCACTGTAGTTTCTATGGACGGAAAAGAGCAGATACGGATTAAATGGTTTTCAATGCATTCCTATGGGAAATGCAGATTCAACATAAGAATTTTTCAACTTGAGAACCACCTTCCAATACGAATTAAGTTCTTAAGTAGAGACCCCACTGTACTCACAGAAGCAGAAACTATGAGGCTTTCAACATGGCAGTTGAAAGAAACTGAAAGGGGAGCCTTGGCACCAAGGTACTTATATAAGGGGGGGCGGGACCTTATTCTAATGTGTTTTTTTGCTACAGTGGTGCCTCGCTTAACAATTACCACATTAAACAAGGAATCCGCTTTATGATGAGGTTTTTGCGATCGCAATAGCAATCGCAAAACGATGTTTAGATAGGGAAACTTCGCTTGACGATGATCAGTTCCCTGCTTCACTAGATGACAATTCTAAAACAGCTGATTGGTGGCTCTAAAATGGCCGCCCGCTGTGCAAAATGGCTTCCTGCTGTTCTTTAGGACGGATTCCTCGCTTTACAGGCACCGAAAATGTCCGCCCCTATGGAGGATCTTCGCTGGACGCTGAGATATTTAGGCCATTGGAACGCATTAAACCAGTTTTCAATGCATTTCAATGGGCTTTTTTCATTTCGCTTGACGAGGGTTTCGCTTAACAGGAATTTCAACTGAACGAATTATCCTCGTCAAGCGAGGCACCACTGTATTGCAGAAGCTCTAGAACTTTCCAATGAGACTCTGTGCAGGTGTGGATCACCCAGGGTGTGATTCACAGAGGCCACAAAGAAGAACCTCTGTCAACCCTAAGCCCTTGTCACATGCAGCAGCATGATAAACATGTATCGAGGCACTATATTTTTAGATGGATGAAGAGGGAGATCTTCTTCTTCTTCTTCTTCTTGTTACAGTAAAAGGGTAGCAGTTTTTGCTGCCATCCCTTTGGCACACAGAGAATTCAGCAGTATGGTGCTGGAGCTAGGAGGTTGTATGTGACACCCAATGCATTTAGGGGACTCCTTAGGGGCCGACTGCTGGACGTGACCCAGTCCTGAACTAGAAGTAGAGAACAGAGGCTGTGGTTTTGGAAATGCTGCTTATGACCTACTGAGCAAATTTGAGAGATTTGAATTTTAAAACAAAAGTGGGGGGAACCTCAGGAAAGTGTGTAACTAATAAAAATAAAAATAAATCTTTCATCTGGAGACAGTCTTTGGTTCCCTGGGGGAACAAGGTAACTTGGTGACTGTATATCTCTTTTAATAGGAGCTTTGTCTTTTGCTCAAAATGGAGGTTCTGCTGCAGTGAGGATTTGCTGTCTCTCTCCTCCTCTCCTCTGCCTTATTCAGATGTTCAGAGGGCTTTCTCTTTATTTTGTTTGCTCTCCTTCTAAAATAAAGTAACAGCAAATCTTCAGGTGCATATATTGTTGAGATAATAACAATCTGGCAGCATCCTTACAGTGGGAGGAAGATTGTTAGGACTTAAAGAGAGGAGAGTTAAATCTGGAAAAGCGAGCCATTTCTACCTGTGGAGTCTCTCTGTGTGATCAGAAGCCCCAAATAATTGGGGTTCCTGATGATGTGGGGATGCTGCCCATGAAGAGAACATTGCTCTCTTCAGATTAAGCTTTCTACCAACAAAAGGATGGATGAAGAGGGAGCGAGAGGACAAGGCTAGTCTGTTCCTTCTGGTCACAGGTTTGAGTTAAGCATTTCATTGAAGACCTAAGTAGGGCTATTCTGACATCATATGTTGTCTGCTGAAAACAACAAGAGCTCCATGCCTGAGATGATTAAACTGAACTGGCCTTCTGTGCAGGCCTGAGCTGTGCTACAGTGCTGGAGAATTGCTGCAGATTGAATGATTGCATGAATACAGTGACTGAATGAAATATGACGAAAGTAAAATATACTTTCACCATACAATTGCTGTCCTTGTTAAGGATTAGGAAGGTCTTCTTTCAGACTCCACAGGTGTAAGTGGAAGCTTCTCAGAAAAGCATGCAAGCTATGAGCCTGCCAGTTATATACAGTGGTGCCCCGTATAGAGACGATAATCCATGCTGAAAAAATCGTCGCTATCTGGATTTGTCGCTATGCAGGGGGAAAAAAAAACCCATAGGAACGCATTAAAACACATTTAATGTTTTCCTATGGGGGAAAAAACTCACCGCTATGTAGAACTCCTCCATCCGGCCACCATTTTCGCCGCCCGGTAAGTGGGGAAAGGGCTCGAAAATGCTGTGGGTGGCCATTTTTTTTCCCAGCGGCCATTTTGGAACCGCCGATCAGCTGTTTTTAAAACGCTTACCGATCATCGCAAAGCGATGTTTACCCATTGAAAACATCATTATGCGATCGCTTTTGCGATCGCAAAAACCTCATCACTTTGTAGATTCGTCATTAAATGGTGCGCTCATTAAGCGAGGCACCACTATACTGTAGTGTTCACCCTGCCCATGAATATTTATATTGAAAGTTCGATGCACCAATAGAAGTTGGCAGGGGTGGAGTTAAGTGGGGGGAAAAGATAAAGAGAGAGAGGGAGAGTAGAGTAGGCGGTTGACAGTAGAGAAAGAAGATTGTTTAGTTGATAGATAATGATATTGACTGGACTTTCATCATTTGTACCAATAAACAATTTCTACTTGCTTCTTATATAGTACATTGCCTGGACCTCTGTCATTAATAGTGAACAAAGTTGATGTAATCAACTGATGGCAGCTGAATGATAAGTAGTGTGCACCTTTGCTTGGTGAAACGACCAAGGGCCACGTGGAAATGTGACACATATATTTGAAGAAAGTTCTAAAATAGTTTACATACCTCCTTATAGGATTTCTTCACCTCCACAAGTGGGTGCCAGTGTGCAATTGGTTTGCGTGGGTAAGCCAGCATTTCATTCCAGTGGTCTCGGCCTAGTCCTTCAGCATTGTTCGCCACACGGCAGACTCCAATAATCTCATTATGGCCAACTCTGAAAGCAATAACCACATGTTTTTAACACTTTGCTTCCTTTGGACACGACCTCCTTTAAACCCATTCTGTGTTTTCTAATTTTCCTTCTGTCTCTATGGCTAAAGCTACACCTATTCACTGAGCATACGTCATAATCCTCCTACTTTCCAACACTGAGGGTCAAACTAGATGATACATTTAGCACATAGTTAAAAATGGTGCTGCCTTGAGTCATGAAAGAGGCCATTTTATCATAGCACATTGTTTTCTTCACTTCTGCAATTTTGCAGATTTTGTGAGCAAGGTATCTGGCTGAGGGGGCAGAAGGTGAGAGTTTGATTCTCCACTGAGCATCCCATAAGAGCCAGCTTGTGGAGTTTTGGGCAAGATGCATAGCCCCAGGGTGTCCCCAGAAGAAGAGAATGGTATGCCGCTTCTGAGTAGTGTGTGTATGGAAATGCAAGTGGAACAGTCTCATGAATAAACACAAGTGAAATTGGCATGGACCACAATTAGGGCAAACCCTTCCATTCCTATTCAGAGTGTTTGTGCATGTGTGTTATTTCTGTGTGCACAGAGTTAAGAATTTTCACCACCAATATCTAATCAGACGTGTACTGTCTAGAGAGCCTGTGAAGGGAATTACACCTTACACAGGATTTTAGCAACTCACATGAAAAGGACTGCTCTCCTCCAGGAAAAAGACAGGAGTCTTGGTCAGGCACTGAGACTGAATAGGTACCTTGATTGAGCAAGGGACGAAGAGAGACATGTTTGCTGCATTACAATTAATTCACACCTTGCTGCACTGAATAGCAAGGCTCTGAAAAGATCTGTCTGCATGTCTTTGCATGAGAGTAGCCCTTCCCAATGAATCAAGGACTCTCCAGGCTATGAACAGTTGAAGACTAGCAGAGCTCCTTTCCAGAACTTGCCACTCAGCATCGCAAGGTGGAAACTGAAGGGACCAGGGGCAGCACTGTAAGGGGGACAATCCCATGCCTTATTTGACTTGTACAGCCAATTTTTTTCCAGCTTGAGACCTGAACATGGGTGGGTAGAAACAGTGACTTAATTAGACATTGGAAAAGTTAGCTTTTTGGTATTAGAACTCATAGATTCTGGGAGCTGTTCTTTTATTTTTAGAAAAGCAACTTTTCTAAGCTCTGGACTCATCTGGCTGTGCAAGGAAAATAGAAGATATGTGATACACTGGGTGTATGTCATCATCAATGCTTGCCTGTATGTAATTATGAAAAGACTTGTGCACTGCAAGAAATTCAGACTGCATGGGATTTTTACTCCAGTGCCTTGTGAAGACTCTTTATAACCTCACTTTATGAATTCAGAGGAATCCATAAATTCCCTTGGGGGCCTTGGCACATTTGAAGGGGGGCACAGACTGGAAATAATTCTCCATACATCACCTGATAAGACTTATTATGTGACTTATACAATCCTAATTCTGTCTGTTTGTTTCATATTGTGTTTATGGCAGTGGCCAAAAAATGTTGCAAATGGCTGTAAATGAAGGCTCAAGATCCTGTCAGAGCCACTCATAGGGGAAATAGTTGACAAGGAAGTAATGTGACTTGATATTTTTAGTGATACAGTTTGGCTTTGTGATAAGCTACTAATATAACTGAGTAAGTCACACCATGAAACCAATGAGATGTAGCCATGTGAAAACTCTTGCTTACCGATCATAATCCATAACAGAGATAAGCAGGCTGACTTGGTCCATGTTTTCTGGAGGGATATCAAAGATTATTGCCTCATTATAGGTAGGATTAAGTGTGTTTCTCTTTATGGTGGTTTTCTTCTTTTTCAGCCTTCTCCCATCACAGAGCAAAGATACTTTGACATAAGGATCTGGAAAGAAAATGGAAAAGAAAATGGCAGAAATGAGAACATACGTTTTCTTCCCAATATTTATGGTGCTTTGCCAACATGACCGAATGAGATACTGAGCATATAAACAGAGCAAGGGAGATCTTAGGGACAATCTGTATGACAAGTATCCATACATGCATTGGTTATTTTGCTCAAAAGGCCCACACATATAAAACTTGTTTGGCTGCCCTCTGTACAGCCCATATCTCTGCAAAAAGCAGGATTCCTAAAAGCGCAGAAACAGCTCCAAGGACAGGAGCGGATGAATCCATGAAGGGTTGGGGTATACATTCACAACTGTACTTCCCCATCTACACCTTCAATATCCCCTGTGTGACCTTGCGGTCAGGGCTACAGTTAACAATAACATCCACTTGCAAGAAATAGGAGTATTGATAAACAGATAACATTTCCTCTCTATCCTGTAAGTTAATATTGAGCTCATTCTGTAAATGTGGATCCTTGCATAGCCAAAGCAGCAACACCTCCCAGAAGGGACAGCGATCAGAAACCCAACTCAAGGGAGTGACAAGACTCCCAAAAGCAGTCTAATGATGAATATGTAGGTTCAGTGGCAAGTAACTGCTGGTTGATTATTGAACGGATAAAAAATGGGAATGAGAATACTTAGAAAGAAGAATGTCAAGTTAGCTGAAACGCTGCACAGGAGCATCCAGCACTGCAACATTTGGTACTTCCTATTAATGTTTTCTGAGATACTGTAGGTTTCCAAATTTATTTTTGGCTGTAGGGTAGTTGTTTTCAGTCAGGAAAGTGTATATGCCAAGTCCTTCTGTTTTCCACAAAATCTAATACTGTATTACATGTTCATTACATTGCAAAGGAAAACAGAAAGATTCGGGTTGATATGTTTTTCTGGATGGTTTTGAATCAGCTTTCTGTAAGCCCAGAGACCATGTGTGTATATACGACCCAGCTCTTATTTCTTATGGGGGAAAGATTTTGTAATTTTACTTTTATTCTACATTTCACTTCCTTTCCTGCAGAGTCTTCTAGATGGGTTTCCTGTGTTATTTACCGTGTTCATCCTCACAGTTTGTTCCCTTTAAAAAAAAAAAATAGCACAAATGCACCAGCTTCCCTCTGCTCTCTGATTATGCATATACCTTGAGCACAAATTTTGTTTTCTATGCTAAATATTTGTGAACTAGTTTCAGGAATCGGAGTCACAAAAGGGGATTTAAAAGCTTTTCCTTTTTAGTCAATGGGAAAAGCTAGAAGGAAAAAAAAAATAGGGCAGCAATACCTCACTAGCTGCCCCAGAGACTGATTTTGGCAAATTGCCTCTGAGTTTCCAACCTAATACAGATGCTGTA